AGCTGAGTTCACAGAGGAAAGCTCTTGACTTACTGAGTTATTTCTAAGAAGCATGTAACAAACTTTAAATGCCCCAGCAATAAATGTCTTTGGGCATTTCTTACTTCCTTGTCCCTCTTCACCTATAGCTGTACCCACTGTCCTCTCTAGCAAAGAAGGAAGGGTGAGGGTGTCTGGGTAGGATGAGACCCCAAGGCCCATGTCTGCTCTGTCCTCTTCCCCTGCAGCCCTTCCACTCTCAAACCTTTACGAGACTCTGGGAGTTGTTGGATCGACCACCACACAGCTGTACACAGACCGCACAGAAAAGCTGAGGCCTGAGATGGAGGGGCCTGGCAGCTTCACCATCTTTGCCCCTAGCAATGAGGCCTGGGCTTCCTTGCCTGCGGTGAGATGACCCCCTTCTGTTCAATGGATTCTTCCTGGGAACTGCCTTAATCCCCAAGGCATGGATGAAGAATGGGATTCTATATTTCAGGAAGTGATTCCCCTCAACCCCCAGATAAAGCTAAAATACTCCTTGCCAGGTCTCTTCCAGTGCCCCCTCATCCAACTGGAGAGAGACAATCCTTGGTGCTCACTGAGGAGGGGTCCTTGGCAGAAGAGAGGTTTAGGTGCACTTGGGGCTTAGAGTTGGGAACGAGGACCCAACTCTTGAACATGGCGTCTATAGGCCCCTAACTATCACATTGTCCTTCCTTCTAGGAAGTACTAGACTCTCTGGTGAGCAATGTCAACATCGAGCTGCTCAATGCCCTCCGATACCATATGGTGGACAGGCGAGTCCTGACTGATGAGTTGAAGCATGGGATGTCTCTCACCTCCATGTACCAGAATTCCAACATCCAGATCCACCACTATCCCAATGGGGTAGGAGCATTCCCAGTCACGCAGTGCTGTTTTCTGTCCACAGCGAACCACTTCTGGCCCATTTATAGGGCTTCTTTCTGGGGTTCTGTCCTGCAGTGTGATAAACTGTAGATAGTCTCCTGCCTCCTGGGTCTGCTTCTCCTGGGATCCTCCTGTTCTGTTCCATGGAAAGTGGAACCCATATTCTACTACTGGGTGTGAAAGCACTGTCTTCCCCTCCTCGGGATTCCAGATGCTTCCTCTGTTGTATTCACTGCTCATCTTTGCTTCTTCTCTACACAGATTGTAACTGTCAACTGTGCTCGGCTGCTGAAAGCTGACCATCATGCTACCAATGGAGTGGTGCACCTCATCGACAAGGTCATTTCCACCATCACCAACAACATCCAGCAGATCATTGAGATCGAGGATACCTTCGAGACCCTGCGGGTGAGGGTCTGCCCAGGGTGGAGGCCCAGGTTGGGGACCTATGGCTTCTGGAGAGGGGCCTGGCTGGATCTCTTCTGCAGGAAGAGCAGAGGATGTCTCATGTGGGGAAATATAGAGAATCCAGTAATCAGTGTTCAGCTTGACCTATCCTGTGAAGTGCCTCTCTCTGTCTTCTCCTTTGTAAAGCTTTCCTTTCTTTGGCCCCCCTGGAATGTCCAGTGGTTTGTGGCTGCAGCAAGGCAGGTTCCTCCGAGCCCTGGGCTGCCTGCACCTGCACTGCAGGGTCCAGAGGTCCTCCGATATCTGCTTCCCACATGTAAACATTTATACTAATAGATGGCCTATCAGGCCGCATGATACTTCTGGGCCACATGTCCTGATCCTGGGACCCCTGTTCCAGTCATAACTATATTTCCTTGGGGCTCAGACCAAGCAGACAGCTATCAGTGTGAACTCAGGAGTCTGGGGTCTGACTCCTGTGCTGGCTTCTGACTGCTGGGGGCCAAAAGAGTACTGTTCTTCCCTCATACCCCACAGGTGTCCATCTTCCAACTGGAGGGGCAGCCGGGCGTTCCTCTTGGCACCAGCCATGCAGGAGGAAGTGAGTGCAGGCTGCTCTGTCAGGGGTTTTTCTTTGATTCAAGGAGAACTTCCTAACCACAAGGGACACAAGTGGGAGTGGGGCGGTCCCTCCCTGGAGATCTCCAACACAAGAGACAAACACACTTGGGCTGGCTGGCATAGATGGGCCTCAGCAAGCAGGGACAGACAGCTCTTGGCTGGCTCTGGAAGACTTGCTCTCTAAGCTTTTCTCCTTTGCCTTTCTTCTGGGTTACTCAAAGCGCAGGGGTCTGCAAAGTAGCAATGTTGCCCCAAAGTTGGCACCACATATTTTGATTAACAGCAGCTGGTCTTGCTGAGTCACCCTCCCCCTTACTATTTAGGTGTGGCAAGGATTTGTTTTTTCCTTCTAACCTACTGACATTCCCTGATGCCCATCTTTCCTTCTTCCAACGCATGCTTATTAAGCACCTGCTCCTTCCCAGGTATTGTTCTGTGGACCAAGGTACAGAGTGAAAAGGCAGAAAAACCTCAGTCCTCCATGAAGCTAATATTCTTTCTGGGGAGACAGACAAGACACAAAAAGTAGCCACGGACCATGATATGCGCTGTGAATCAGCATGTCAGCAGTGCACCAAAGTTGTGGGAGAGAGATGGATGGCCAGGGAAGGCCTTTCTGGAAGAGATGCCTCAAGTGGAGGCCTGAAAGATGACAATAGGCCTATTCTACACAGTGCCAGGGCAGATGGGAAGCTCAGAGATAGACACAAGGAAGAGGCCATGGGCCAGAGCGAAGAACGTGTGGCAGGCAGAAAGTGGGGGGAGCAGACTGGTCAGATCCTGCAGGGCCTTGAAGATGGGATGGAGGAGGTTGTCTCCATCATGAGAGTGGCAGGAAGCTGCTCCTGCTGCTAGGAGATCATTCTGGCTGCTGTGTAGACGATCGATCATGTGGTCCTTTCACTGCTGGTGCTCACATAGGTAATTACCAGTAATTATGCAATTGCAATTGGGAGAAGGGGAACAAGTTGTGAAAGTATCTATACCAGACAGACTTGCATTTGTCTGGGGCCTGCAGGCAGAGAGGTGATGCCAAGTTGCCTCTCTGAGAAATGGCATTTGAACTAGGTCTGAGGAAGGAATAGGAGTCAAAGAAGCAAAGAAAGAAGGAAGGGCAGAGGGAATGGCAGGTCAAAGGCCTGGAGATAGAAAGGAAGAAGGCAAATTAATAAACTGAAAGATGGCCAGTGTGGCTGCAGTGCAGACCAGGCCCAACCCTGTGGAGGCCATGGTAAGGGGAAGTCGTGGCGTGGCTTCTCATTTCATCTTGGTCTTCTATAAGACCCTTAAGTCCTAAAGATAGGAATAGCCAGGCTGTATGCACATCTTACAAGGGAGAACCCAAAGCTTTCAGGGAGCACTTCATCCTCCCTCTTCCCCACAGGCTGCCGTGGCTGCATCAGGGCTCAACACCGTGCTTGAGGGTGACGGCCAGTTCACACTCTTGGCCCCCACCAATGAGGCCTTCGAGAAGATTCCTGCTGAGACCTTGAACCGGATCCTGGGTGACCCAGAAGCCCTGAGAGGTGAGCACCCTTGGCTCCTGCTGCTGCCTAGTTGGATGACCAGACTGAGCCCAAGGCCGTCAGTAGTTTGATAGGCACATCACCTCTACCATGAGGTAACTCTGAGGATTGTCTACTGCAGCTGTGGCTTGTGATGCTCCTAGCCAGCCATGTCTCTGCAGAAGCCAGAACAGAGTTCCACTCTGGCTCTGTGGAGTGAGCCCAGAATCCCACGGCCTTTATCTAGGGCTAAGAAGGGAGACAGCACTACAGGCTCACAGCTGACCTGGCCAGACACAAGGAGAAATCAAGTCTCTAGGGATCGAAGCCAGAGCAAGACTGTCAGGTAGATGTCAAGTGAATGGGCATTTTGGATGTGTGGGGCAGGGGTGGCAGGCCGCGCCATCCTTCAAATGGAATCATCATGTTAACCCTTTAAGACTTCCTATATCTGGCCAGGTGCCTCATGGGTAAGCCAAAATTAGAGTTAAAAACCAGTTAGAGTCAACTCTTGACTCACTGGTTTCATCTTCCAGCTGCTAAGTTAAGAAGGAGCAAGCATGAAAGGGAGATTAGAATGGGGTCTGCCCTTCCTCCACGGGGCCACTTTCAATGCCAAGACCTCTGAAAGACCATGAGCACTAAGCTGCCTGCTAAGTAAGCAGGCCCCTGGAAAAGAGGGGAGCCCCAAGTCCCCTGTGTACTCCAATCATACTATTCCTCCCAAATATGAGTCATGGATGACTTCATTTCTTTTGAATCTATTTAAATCCACCTTGGCAATTCATGATATAAGATGCCTGATTCCTTTCAGACACCCTATAAATTTAAAATGTTCTCCAGGCCAGGCGAGAATGAGAAAGGACACATTTCTGAAAGCGTAGAAGGGATCTGTTCTGTGTCCAGATGACTATGGAGTTTCTAGATGCCCATTCTGTGCTGGGAATTGAGGCCATAAAGTAAATACAGTCCAGTCTGTGCCTTCGAGGAAGTTAAAGCCCAGTAGGCAGCAGACTTCAAAGCGGGTTGTTGGGATGTGATCCCATGAGGACAGAGGGCAAGGCTGGGCCCACACAGTCTTGACGGTGCTGAAGGCTTCCTGGAGGAGGTGAGACTTGGCTGCATCTTGGCATAGTTTGTACCCCATTGTGTTAGTCAGCTTTTCATTACTGTAGCAAATTCCTGAGGCAATCAACTTATAAAGAGAAAAAGGTTATATTGGCTCACAGTTTGGGAATTCTCAGTCTGGCATCCATTGGCCCCATTGTTTTAGGGCCCATGGCTTTGAGACTAGGTAGGGGAGGAGGGGAGAAGAGTGATAGACAGGTATCATGGTCACAGTCCCCTTAAAGGGCATGCTTCCAGTGACCTAAAGACCTACCATCAGGCCCCACTTTTTAAAGTTTTCACCACCTCCCAGTAGAGCCACCCTGGGGACCAAGCCTTTAACACATGCCTTTGTAGGACATTGCAGATCTCAAGTCTAACATCCATTAAAACATCTTTTTTGTACTGAGCTCACTTCTATCTTCACAGACATCAGACCTCCTTATTATAAAGCAGGAAAAAAAACAACCCTTAATTTAGGTCTTTTGCATTTCTGCTTTTTCCTATTCAATAACTGGTTTGATCAAAGCCAGGACCCTGTGTCTGGCACTATAGTTGTGGACTTGAAGGAAGAGGATCATGGGTCCACCATCAGCAGCTTCTTGTTATCACTAGCTGGTTAGCAGATAGGCAAGGAGCAGCCTTGGTCTGACATGTCCTCTCTAAAGCCTGGGTTCCAGTCCTGGCCCTGCTTACCTCCCAGTAACACTGGCAGGTCACCCCCTACCACACTTCCTCATCAGAGAAGCAAAATTCCCAAAAGACTCATTCCCTGAGCTTTTTTTTTTTTTTTTTTTTTTACAGAGCTAGGGATTGAACCCAGGGCCTCATACAGGCCCTATATCTAACTTGAGCCATGTCCCCAGCCCCTCCCATAGGGTCTTGCTGTCTTTTCTTCCTTTCTGGCCGAATTGGGTCAGCACTGGCTTTCAAAGCCAGTTTCCAGCAGCCAGATGCCTCTGCAGGTCCTCAGAGCTTCCTCCTTGCTCGTGACAGCAGTTTTGGTTCCCATAGTCAGGGACAGATCGAAACTTGCCTTTGTGGAGAGGATGTATAAGACAAAGGGCCTTGGTGACTTTCTCAGCCTGGGAGGGGGAGGGGGATGTCCTCTTTAACTGATCTTTTGGATTTCTTCTGTGCAGAATGCCAGCAAGAGCCACCTTCTTGGGGGCCCCCATCCTCTCCCTTGCCCCTAAAGTAGCACCTGGACAAGTAGCTAAGCCATTGTACTTATTATTTATGGGTGTGAATGGGGTGGCAAAAGCCGTACCTTACTGATCACCACTCCCACCTCTAAGGCAGATCCTGGCAGCTAACAGGTAAAATGAACAAAACCAGACAAATAAAATATACAAAATCTTCAAAATTGAGCTTCACTGCAGTTTTCATCTGTTCCTACCACATATTTACATTTTTATCAAAGTCAATAGACTCAAAAGGCCCATGGTTGGCTCACTCGTGTTTTTCCTTTCTCCCAGATGTTCAGGTCCCAGTGAGAGAACTCACCCTGCAATTCAGAGCTCATAAGCTAAGACCTGCATTGTTAAGTATTCGCTGTTGATAAGCACCTTGTCTTATCTAGGAGATGAGTGCTGTTCTCATCTCTACTTGACTGATGGAGATAAGCCCTAAGGATGCTAACTGTCTGCCCAGGGTCTCATAGCTAGCAAGTGGCTGTGGCATTCGAACTCAGGCAGTCTGTCTGCAGAGCCCCAGCTGGTTTTAGAGGGCAGGAGAAGAGGAGAATCTGGGTCCCCTGGTGCCCCAGACTTATCTGAAGGTCCTCATCCAAGAGAACAAAATCCTCAGAGTTAAGGTCAACCTAGAGCAGTCTCTGACTTGGCCTGTGTCCTATTCTGTCCCCAGACCTGCTAAACAACCACATCCTAAAGTCAGCCATGTGCGCTGAGGCCATTGTTGCAGGGCTGTCCATGGAGACCCTGGAGGGCACCACACTGGAGGTGGGCTGCAGTGGGGACATGCTTACCATCAATGGGAAGGCCATCATATCCAACAAAGACATTCTGGCTACAAATGGCGTGATTCACTTCATCGATGAACTGCTCATTCCAGATTCAGGTAAGCCAGGCCTCCCATTCCTTCTGCTGTCCCTGGCAACAGGCTTGGGGGAATTCAGGGTTTGTTTAGGCTGCTTCTCTGCCTGGATCCAGATCACAGCTTCACAGCCAGGGCAAGCCTGTGGGTTGTGGCCAGATTGAGAAGAGTCTTGAGTTTCAGACATGGGGATCAGATATTGTCCTGGAGGCAGTGGGGAGCCACTGAGGGTACCTAAGGAGGGAGACACACAATCATATCTGCTTGCTGTGGTTGGACACAGAGGACCATTTGCTGACCCCAGAGCACCATTTGCTGACCCCAGAGCATTTACTAGATCAATAGTACCCAAGACATCCCAGTGTCACTGACCCAGGAGGACAACAAAATGGACTTTGGTTCCATTCAGCCCACTAGGCAAAGACCTCACAGAGAAAAGCAAAACTTTCTATGGGAGAGGTCTTGTGGACTCTTCGGAAGCCACCACACAGGCAATACAACCTCTTTCTCAGAGTCAGATGGCTTGGCCCTGACCAAGCCACCTTGGCCTGAGATAGCTCTGCCCTCTGCCAAACTAACACTCACCTCACCTCCTCACCAGTTAGGTTTTCTGATGACACAAACCTGCTGGGCCCCGGCAGTGATTAAAGGATTGTTGACTCATGAGATAGTGTTCCTGCTGCTGTGTGTCACAGTTTGGGGTGGACAGATGATAAGTGCAAACAACACTGTTAACTTTTGAACCCCCTTTTTCCTTCCTGTAGCCAAGACCCTGTTTGAGTTGGCTTCAGAGTCTGACGTTTCCACAGCCGTTGATCTTCTCAGACAAGCTGGCCTCAGCACACATCTCTCTGGAAACGAACGGTTGACCCTTCTGGCACCCTTAAATTCTGTATTCAAAGGTAAGATGGGGGGAAGGCACCCTGCTAGTCTGTCTCTAGGGGTCATCCTCCATGAAACTCTCCTGATTTGCCAAAGTCTTGGGACGGTAGATGTGACTCCAGCAGCAACTTCAGACTTCTCAGTGTTTTGTTTGACAGAGCCAAGAATACATTTAGGGATCTGTTCCATGGAACTCAAGACTTTGCATCTGCCAGGAGAACAGAGCATCCATCCCGAGGCATTTTTATAATCGGGGTCAATGCCAATCTATAGGCAGGAGGTTAGCGTGAGGGTGTGGCTGAGCTGTAGCCATGGCCAAGTTGTGTGCATACCTCCCCTTCCCTTTTAGGGCAAAATTCCAAATACCCTTGATTAGCTACACCTTTTTTTTTTTTTCCTGCAGAAGATGCCAGATGTTAAGGAATATTAGCACCTAAATTCAAGGAGGGATGGACAGTTCCTTGTGTTTGTCTCTCATCATCTTCTTATCTCTGAAACCTGTCTCGCTGGACCTAACCACCCCTTCTCTTGCAGATGGAACCCCTCGCATCGATGCACAAATGAAGAATTTGCTTATGAACCACATAGTTAAAGACCAATTGGCCTCCAAATATTTGTACCATGGACAGACCCTGGACACACTGGGTGGCAAAAAACTGAGGGTTTTTGTTTATCGTAATGTAAGTTCTGGGTTCTAAGGTCCTGCCCTTTCTTTGGCTCAGCAATGAGATGTGAGAATCTAATTAGTTTGTTGGGTTGTGGGGGGAGTGGAAGTCCTCAATAAGCAGGAGCTTACATGATCTAATGAGGAAGAAATTTCTGGAAAGTATATATGATGTTGAATGAGATCCTACAGAAGGATGGGAATCTCCTTTTGTGGAACGCTTGGAGAATAAACCATACACCTGTTGCACTGAATTGTTAAGCAGTAAGGCTAGCAGGTACTCAGAAGGACAAATGCACTGGAGGAGGGGTGGAACTTTTGAATCCTTCCAGGTTTATGTGAATAGAAGGCCCCTGAACAGAAGCATAGACTTCCATGGTCCAAAAGGCTCCCTTCTCTTTTCTCCTGTCTCTTCTCTGTCTTCAAACCCCAAACTACTCTGGGATCTCAAACAGGAAGCACAACTTGACTTTGCTCCAGTCTAGGATCAACCAGCTCCATTTGGGTAGAAATGGTCGCCATCTGTTAAATCAATCAATCAATGACCTCAATCTGTTTATTTGATCATGGTCAATGGAGCAATTGTGCAACTGATACTCTCATTATGATGCATCTAGGTGCCTCTACTGAGGTGCCTTCCTTGAGGAAGATCATTCTTATTGTTTTCTTACCTGAGAAAATCATTTTATCCCAGTCTTCATGACCCACACCAATATATATTCACTGACCATTGTGGGTGATGCTGTCAGCACAGGCCCTGAACAAATTGGAAGGCCCCTGACCTGGGAGGATAATCAGCTGTTCCTTTCTCTGCCCTCTTCTGTGCAGAGTCTGTGCATCGAGAACAGCTGCATTGCTGCCCATGACAAGAGGGGGAGGTATGGGACTCTGTTCACCATAGACCGGATGCTAACCCCCCCAATGGGGACCGTCATGGATGTCCTGAAGGGAGACAACCGCTTTAGGTAACAAGTCTGCTAGGGTGGGGCTTCAGCCAAACAGTCATATTGAGGCAGGATGCCTGACCTCAGTGGATCAAGAGTTCAAGGTCAGCCTGGGATATATAGTGAGATTCTGTCTAGAAGAAGAATGGGGATAAGGATGAGGAAAAGGAGGAGGAGGAGAAGGAAGAGAAGAAGAAGGAGATTCCTTACACAAGTGGCATACTTGTATGAGCACACAGGCTTGGGGTGGGGAAAAAATGAAGGTCACCTTGAAACCTTAAGTTGGGAAGCGAGGGGTACATTTTTATTCCTAAAGCACAAGGGAAGCATGTCTCATTGGAAAGTCCCCCAGTGAGCTGAGGTCACGTGGCTTTGAGGCTGTGATGGGTCTGTCCTCTTGGTGCAGAATACGTTCAAGGCAATACAGTCCCATGTCAGCATACTTTCCTGCTCTGCTCTCTCTTATTCAACATGGCTGAATGTCATGTTGAGTGTTCCCCTGCACCAGGAGACCACACCCTCTCTGCCCTCTCCAGAATCACATACTCAGTGCCCAGAGGGTCAGCTAGCTCCTAGGTCAGATGCACGTCTCATCTTTCTTCTCCCTCCTTGCCCCTCTGGACTCTGACTTCTGGCTATTTAGCAGAGCTGGGTGGAGAGAAGACAAAAGTGGAATAGTTCTGTCTTTGTGTATGGGGAGGGCATGAAAACCAGCAAGATGAGTGCATTCCAGTGGTCTGGGCTCTACTATCCCCAGTGGTCAGGTATATGAAGAAAATGTCCCCTACCAACCCCTTTACAGGTAGGTGACATGTTCTGTGTGTATCTACAGCATGCTGGTAGCAGCCATCCAGTCTGCAGGACTGACAGAGACCCTCAACCGGGAAGGGGTATACACTGTCTTTGCTCCCACAAACGAAGCCTTCCAAGCCATGCCGCCAGAAGAACTGAACAAACTCTTGGGTAAAGACCAGTTTTGACTCTTCTAAAGTCACCACCTGTCAGGACCACAGCAGAGAACAGTTGGCACATTACAAAGGGGTTGACTCAAAGAGACTTAATAATAAGACCATTTGTCGGAGTGTGGGTAGGATTAAGGGACCAGCAAAGAGTGATGACATCCAAGGGCTGGTACTGGTAGGGAGGCAGAGTAGGGTGAGGGCAGGAACAGGGAGTTTGGACAATGGGCACAGATAGCTGCAAGAGCCACTTGCAGTCATGTCAGGACCATGGCAAGGGAGGCCCCTGTGCACCTCAGCCTCTCTCACCTCCCACAGGCCGGTTGCCCACAGGGCCTCCCGCTAGCTGATTGCAGGAGGGCAGATGGTGCAATTCATAAAGGTCACTTTCCTTGGGTACCTAACCAGGCAGAGAGCAGGTAGGAAGGAATTGAGGGTGGAGAGCCATCAGCCCAGTCTCTCAGGTGTGCATTCTACCTGTGAGAACAGTGATGATGGAGCCGCTTACCTACAGAAAATGTCCCTTAGAATTAGAGCCTTCCCAAGAAGTCAGTCATGGCCTTGAGAAATTTAGTTGCGGTGTTGGGAGGCAATCTAGTGGTTACGAAGTCAGGCTCCTGGATGACCCCGAATCAGGTTCAAATCCTCCCTCTGCCATTTACCAAGTAAGTGACCTCTCACAGATTGCTGAACCTATCTGAACCTCATTTCCCATTAGAAAAATGAAGATGGCAGGAGTCCTTAGATTACTGTTACAAGGATTGAATGAACATTGTATGCAGTGCTGGGCACACATGCTCAATTATTAATAGTTACCACAACAGTGAGGTGGGACAGGCTGTGGCTCTGACATGTGTCCATGAGAGACGCATCCACTGTCACAGTAAGGTGAGTTGAGAAGATGAAGAAGACCAGGAAGGAACTTAGCCAAATCTCGAATCACACACTGTTTACACCTCCCTTCCTGCAGGAGAATAGAAGGGGCTCAGGTTGCTGTCTGCTCTGAGCTAAATTTGTGTCCTGTTTAATTTTCTTTATTGCTAAATGAATGCCTGTGTCTGTGATGCTGACGTATGTTCCTGAGATGAGGGGAGAAGTTCACTCTGAACATAAACTTTCCATCCTGTCAGCCCTGCAAGAATGGAATATTCCCCAGGTGGTCTGAGCCTACTCAAATTCCCTCATTCTCAATTGTGTGGGAGTGGAGGAGGGGTGTGGAGAAAGTTTCTCAAACACATCCCCACCCCAGGCTTGGGGGCAGAGGGTAGCCCTGGTGTTAGAGTTCTGGAAAGAAGGTTGCCCTTGGCATCCAGGGGCTGGCTTGGCTCTGCACCTCCAGGCAATATTTTTGTGCTTGTCAGCTCCAGTTGTGAATATTTGGAAATCAGTTGGTATGAGTGGCTTGGTACCCATGGCACTGGGTTTGTCGATAACTAAGTAAACTCTTCTCTGTTCTCAGTTTCAAGATGCTGATAATAGATGTCCATAAGCCCTGGAAAAATGAGCCATTGGTTGGCAAATGGGAGGACAGAAGGAGGGGGTAGCTGGTAGCAATACATGCTATCTTCCATGGCTAACTTGGGAAAGGCTTGTGCACCTTTATGGGCAATCAGATCCGATGCCTTCCCCCACTGGTGGAGAGGCTGATGTGGGCTGGAAGGAATGCTGTGCCATGCTGAGGCAGGGTACTGCACAGGGAATACCCCCTCGGCCCTGACCTCATCAGCTCTGTGGCTCCTCCAGAGCACAGCTGTTGCCTCTTTCAAGTTACCCCCTTCAGGAAACAGCCGCCTCCAATAGAATATGCATTTGAGGGCAGAATGTGTAAATATTTCACGACTGTGTTATAACCGGCAGGAGCCATGCTGATGATGAAGTATCCCAGATGCTGGGGCTGGAAAGGTCTCTGGCTTTCCAGGCAAATATTTAGCTCATGGAAACATGAGTCATTACTCACAGAGGAGTATGGATTAACTCCTGAGGAGCCAGGGAGCTCTGTGTAACCCAACTGCCCGCTGACTGTAGGGCTGATTCATGGCCGCAGACATGCACCTTGTTAGGCAGATGACTGACTGTTAGACAGATGTGGGTTATGGGCAGAGCATACAGTGGGTGCTCACTGCATGCTTATACCTGTTCAGGGAGTTGTGCACCTTGCCAGTTAGCAACCTTGAGATTAACTCTGCTTCCTTTTCCCAAAACCCTGCAGGAAATGCCAAGGAACTTGCCAGCATCCTGAAATACCACATTGGTGATGAAATCCTGGTGAGCGGAGGCATCGGGGCCCTTGTGCGGCTGAAGTCTCTCCAAGGGGACAAGCTGGAAGTCAGCTCAGTGAGTATGCCCACAAGTCAAAAGTCTCGCTGTGCACTGCCACCAGGACTCCAGGGCATATCTCTCCAGAGGTGGCATTAGACACATACAACCTTTAAATGCATCCTGAATCTCTGAGTATAAATTGTCCAGTAAAAGAAAAGGAAAAAGAGAAGAGGCTTTTCTGGGAAATCAAGCAAGATTGGAGTTAGATGCGAGTAAGGCCTTCCAGATTTGCAGGGGAATAAAACTTCTGATTTGGCCGCTGGGGGAGGCCATTTAGGAGAGGCTAGGTAATTACTTATGTGTCTTGAAAGCTCCACCCCCTAGCCTCTCCCTGCTCCAGTGTCCCAAACCCAGGTGCTCACTGAGGGTTTCACTGTGTTTGCTTGGACTGGCCTCAAACAACAATCCTCTTGATCTCTGCCTCCCAAGTAGCTAGGATTATAGGCATGAGCCACCTCCCCAGCCCTGTAAGAAACTCTTAAACCAGGCGTTTGAGAAAAGCTGAAAGTCTTTTCCTGGAGCTGAAGGTGTGGCTTCTATTCCCAGTTGTCCTACCTACATAGCTTAAAGGGGGCACTTTGTCTCTCCTGAATATCAGTTTCTACTTCTGTTAAGTTAGACAATAAAATCCAGCCTCCTTACCCTACACTGCTGTGAGGACTAAGTGAAGAACACAACCTGTAAATTGCAGTGTGCTGAATCCACACAAGGCAGGAAAAGTCTATGGCAAGCAGGGGCTGTTCCTCTCCCCAGACTACCCCAGTGCTTACACAGGGCCCGGCATCAGTCTGTGCTCAGCAACGGTTTGCCGAATGGGTGAAACAAATCTGTTCCACATTTAACAATTGTCTCTTTTTCTCTTAGAAAAACAACATTGTCAATGTCAATAAGGAACCTGTTGCTGAAACCGACATCATGGCCACCAATGGTGTGGTCTATGCCATCACCAGCATTCTGCAGCCTCCAGGTGAGGCCCTAACAGATGGACCACATCGCTAGCCTCTGTAGCTGGTCCTACTCTGAATGTGGCAGTTGAAGCTTAGTAGAAAAACTATCCTAAACAAAGATCAGAATAAGGTGAAATTGTGACAGTCACACAGTGCTTATGTCAATGGCCTCCCTGTGGTTGACTGAAAAGTGAATTGGGAATGGTGGCTTCAAAGGTACTACACCAAGGAACTTAAGGACACATTTTTTTCTTGCTGAACTGCCCTCTGACTTAGACCCACTTAGACATGGCCCAGTTGTTTTGTGCTTGTGGATACTTGTTCCAATGAACACAAATGCCAGCTGCATGGTTCCCTGTTTTTCCTCCTCCTGTATCTTTTTACCTCCAGGACAGTTGAACTTCAGTCCACCTCTCTTCACTTGTGCACTCACCTTTCTCTGAGCTCTCTCTGTGGGCCAGATTCTACCATAAGTTACGAAAAGTTATACAGGAAAAGCCAACTGGGAAATGTGAGCCAGAAAACCCAACAGAGCTCCCAGTCATGGCTGCTAGGAAGTCTCTGAATTCACTGATGGTTTCTCTTTCTCACCAAAGTGGCCTTTTCTTTCCTCTTCAGCCAACCGACCTCAGGAACGAGGGGACGAGCTGGCTGACTCTGCTCTTGAAATCTTCAAACAGGCATCTGCATTTTCCAGGGTAAGCCAGGTTTATGCTAGCCAGGGCAGCCTTGAGGCTTCCGCTTGATCCCCAGCAATTTTTCTGAGCAGGGGTGGTAACACACAAAGCCACTATATAAGCAGGTATAGGTATAATTTTCACTAGAAAACCTGATCCCTTGTATTTTCTTTCAGGCGGCCCAGAAGTCTGTGCGACTAGGTAAGTCTGTTCTGGGTTTGTAGTTTCTGCAGTTCCTTCTGGGATGAACCCCCAGCAAGACCCAAGGCATCTGCCATATGTGTGTAGATCAGAATGTCATGGTCTTTGGGAGTTAGACCAGTGGGGCAAATTGGGACAGACCCAGAAAACCCCTTCTCTATAAGATGAAGATAATAAGAGTAGTAGCTATTAGGGTTTGTGTGAGTTTTGGCTTTTGGAGCCTGGCAGTATTGCACAGGTATTGGCAGGAGACCATAATGAGGATGTGGTTCCAAGCCAATAGATGCAGAAAATCCCAAATTGAGTAAGATGTAAAGTTCTACAACCAAAGAGTACTTGCTATGTGCATGATAGAAGCCACTTGGACCTTGTCCTCAAGATTCTGACAGTGTCTCAGATAGACAGGGAGATGTTTGCATCTTTTTCACCTTCATACTTCTCTTTCTCAGCCCCTGTCTATCAGAGATTGCTGGAGAGGATGAAGCATTAGCAGAAAGGACCAAAAGAGGAAAACACCACAGCAGCTTTTCGCCAGTTTCTCTCAGTTTGCCAAAGAGACCATTTGAATGTTTTTTGAAACCAAATATCACACTTCAACATAGATGGGGAGCACCACAATGACATCTGAGCCTTGGATGGGTAGTTGGGGGAGAGTAAGGGAAAGATGTTCTTTTTTATTTTTTTTGTTCCCCCTAAAACATATTTGTTTTAACCCACTGCATGCACAGATCTGGATGTCATTACCTGACATTCACTTCTAGGAAGGACTTTTCCCAAATGAGGAATTTCCTGCCTATGCCAAGGGTCTGGAAAAGCGAGTTGCAGCATTGTGGCTCTCACAAAACATGAATCAAGCAATCCAGCATTCTGGGAAGTCCTGGCATGGTTCTGTAAAAGTTCTTGCACAGCTGGAGAAATGGCATCATTATAAGCTATGAGTTGAACTGTTTCTGTCAAATGTGTCTTGCATCTACACGTGGCTTGGACGCTTCTATGTGGCCCTGTCCAGGTAGAAAAGAAAGGGTATGGTAGAGCATGTAGTGCCCAGACTTCCTGAGTGTGATGGAGCCATGGTGTATTTGTAATAATAAAACTAAAGAAATGTCTGCCTGTGTGGATGGGACTGCCTGATGGCCTAGGTATCAGGTTTGGGTTCTGCTCCCTGGGGACTGCCACATTCCTTCACCCCTCAAGTCTACCCAGGATCATCTCAGCCAGCAGCCCTGGCAACTGGCCCTCACAGGCCCAGACAGCGCACGGGGATCTGAACCCAAGTCTTTGAGGAACTTATTTTCATTTGAGCTTCTACCAGCCCCAGGGTGCTGAGTCCTCAGTAGTCACTTCAACCAGCATGCTACCCCTCTTACTACTCAGAGGCATCTTCTCTCCAGCACTGTGATCTCTATCTTTGTGTTGGATTTTTCACTCCTCAGCACCACCTTGTGAAGTGGTTGCCAGTATAGTCTCATCACAGGGGTGAGGAAAACATGGCTTGGGAAAGGGAAAACCACTGGTAACATAGAAAATAACCAAGCTGGGGTTGGAACCCAAGTCTCCTGACTCTCAGAGATCACCATTTGACAAGAGAGCAAGTCCAGGTCTTCTAGGCTCTACCTTCTGTGCCAACACACATTCAAATCCCTTCCCTGCTCGCTGAATCTCTGTGTGTACACTGTCCACTGCACTCTAGGAGGGAGTACTGTGTGGTTATTGTGTCATTGCTTCCTACTTGTATGGCCTTATGTAGTCATTTAACCTTTCAGGCCTTCTCCATGGACCCAGTGACACAGTCATAGGTCTACAGCATAACGCTGGTCAACCCATTACTGCTGGGACCGGAGCAATGGACAAGGCACAGAACTCCTCCCTTACAAAGCTTCCAGTTCTGGGGAAAGACAGACATTACATCAGGCCATTAAAATCACTCATCCATTCGTTCCACAAATATTTGCTCAGGGACTCCTACATGTACCCACATCTTAGGCCCTGGGGAACAGATGTGTCCTTGTTCTTATGAGGCTTCCCTATGATTGGGAAAGAGAATGGTCAGCTAATGGCACTAGGAACTGCATATGGGGACACTAAAGGACAGCACTGTGATCTGATGACAGACAATGAATCTCAGGAAATGGGGGCCAGAGGAAGGGATACCTAGGAGCAACCAGAGGCAGGGGAGCTGAGAGAAGCTGAAGGAGCTAACTGGAAGAGAACATCAGGCTACAGGGGTTCAGAGAGAAGGCATCCTGAGAGGGGAGATTTAGCCCTGTGGGTGCACCCAGTGCTACTGCTTTCCTATAGCTCTGTCCTGCTCATCCCACCTCCTAGGTAGTCACTAGGCTGGAGTGCCATGTTGGCCTTGCTCATGCTGGGTGTCCTGTAGCTGTGCACAATATACACACCTGGACTTTACCAAGACACCATCAGAACCTAAAGATCCTTAAACTTAAAATAAAAATCTCTACATTAATTCCTTTCAAAGTCCAAATGCTATTTTGGGGGGTGGGAGGGGACTTGGTTTTGAACTCAGGGCTTCACATTTGTAAAGCAGGTGCTCTACTGCTTGAGCCATACCTCCAGTCCATTTTACTCTGGTTATTTTGGAGGTGGGGGTCTCGTGAACTATTTGCTTCAGCTGGCCTCGAATGATGATCCTCCTGATCTCAACCTCCCAAGTAGCTAGGGTTATAGGCATGAGCCACTGATACCCGGCTAAAGTGTGTTTAGGGTCCTTCCCACTTCTCCCCTCCCTTTGCCCTTGCTATCACCACCCCTTTGCCCTGCCTTTGTCTCAGTCCTTCCAATGAGAGGGCTCTACCCTAGTCTCTAAACTCCCTAGAGAGCCCTCTTGTGGCCGAGAACCATGGGCAACCTTTCCTTCCTAGCCAGAGAATCCAGTCCCTATTTTGGGTATTACCTAGTCCCTGGGGAGGGGGGGGGGGCCCTGGTCCCCATTCCATGTCTCCTGGAAATCCAGGTTAAGCATGGACTTTCAGGGCTGTGAGATCTGCCATTGGGTGTTCCCCAGAATGGGTGACTAGGGGAAAGTAGTGTATGCTTCCCTGTGCCCCATCCAAGACCAGAGGGCAGCTCAAACCCAGAAGGAGAAAGCCCAGGCCTCACCTGAGTCTCATTGCTGAGTCCAAATCAAGGAAGAGGAAGGAGAGGATGGAGGAAAAGGGGCTCTGCCTGTTCACACCGCTCTTTGAGGTCCCCTGGGACCCTTGTGAGATATAGCGAGGACAGCAATGACCCTCACCATTGGGTCCCCAAGACCTTTCGAGATGGGCTGTGCCTTCCCCACAGGGGTAAGGGCTACCAGAACCTGCCTCCCTGGCCAACCGAGAGGCCAGCCCAGTTGCGGGCGAGAGAAGACCCATGGTGTTGGAATGTGCATTATCTTTGTTGGTCCTTCCACCTGTGATATGAGCTAGGGAAGTGCCATGAAATTTTTGTTTTCCTACTACAGAAATGGAAGCCCCGAGGGACCACACCACACAACAGGAAGAAGCTGAAACACAGATTCAGCTCATTTGACTCCAGAGCCCACTCTAGAGTCACTCTGAACCACTCCGTTCCCTCTGCCCATCCACTGAAGGGTGGCCCAGGCAGCCCTGAGAGCAGGACATGAAGACCAGGTGGCCAGAAAGGGCTCAGAGCCCCCACTCTCCTGAAAGGCCCCAGCAGGCCTGGTCTCTGCTGCCACAACTTGTTGCCATGCTGCTGGGGGCCTAGGATGGGGAGCAGTCAAGGTCATGGGTGTCCCAGCACCACATGGCTGCCATGAAAGAGAAAGGAAAACACCTCGGTTCTTGGAACCGTAACTCCACATTATGCTTTTGAGGAGCTGCCTGGAATATTTTGCTCAGAACTGGTTCAAAGCCAGGAAAGAAGGCCATGGAATGAGGGATGGGCCCGATGCCCTGTACAAAGAAGTCAAATGGGGCCACCTCTGACCATCCCTGCTTGGCATGGGAAGAAACACACTCTGGAGAGCCAGAGAGCCACTCCAGAGACAAATCAGGAGGGGGCTGGAGCCTGCGTCCCTCTATACACATGCATGGACACACTCACACATCCTCTTCCACACTCACACATACTCTCACGCATGTATAACTTACACACACCTCCAGGATCCTAAGAGATATAACACAGAACCTAAGGCATGGAGGGAGCCACTGATGCCTCACAAAAGCTTCTAGTTCAGGCCTCAGGCCTGATCCACCAGGCCTCCATGGAGGCTCCCAGAGCCTTCTACACCCCCAGCCAGCCACGTAGCCCCCATCATCAGGCATTCACCATCAGTGGGAGTGATGAGGAGGAGGCTGGGGAAGAGAATTCAGACTGAAGAACAGTGTTATAATGTCCTTAGGAGAAATTTGTGCAGCTAAATTGGAGACAGTAGAGAAAATTCCCTGGTGAGAGGTGAGGAAGCCAGGCTGTGCTGGGCCTTGTTGATGATAGTAGGAATTTTAGACATTATCTTTAAGACAAAGAGAATTCATTGGAACATTTTTAGTTAGGGAGAGGGATGAAGAGGGGACATGCCATGGTCAGATTTTTTTATTATATTAAAATATAGATTACCATTTCAACCATTTTTTAAGGGGTAGTATGTACATTTCGCATTGCTGTGCAACTTTCTTTTTGGCCTCGCTTGTTAGGATGTGAGCTCCTCAGAGTTACCCATAGCTAGGGCCTCTGTCCAGTGCCTAGCACGGGGCCTGGCACATATGTAATTCATATGTATTAGCCTAGGGACAGGTTCCCACAGAACAGATGAACCCTTCACTTAACAATGTGGACTCAGGCCCTGATTACTCCCTTAAAAAAAAAAAAAAGAAGAGACTTCCCCAGATATTTGGGGTACTCTTCTGGAGGAATAGAATAGCTGGGTGCTGGGAACAGACAAATGGCTACTCAATTGCATGACAGAAAGGGTCTCCAACAGGTGACTCGACTCTAACCCTTTGGGGCAGAAGTTTCATGTTCAGAGAGTTTTTTAGGGAAACACTGGATCCTCATCCTCCAGTTCTATTAGAAAAGAAGAAGGTCTGAGATTTGAGAGCAGCTGTGGCAGAGGGGAAAGACTTCTGATTAAATGTCCTCATTTGGACGGAAATGAGTTTTTGAGTGAACAGATGGAAAACTGCTCTCCTCCCCCATCAGTGGGGATTATGGGTCCCTATGGCTTCTTGACAAGAGCACATAAATAATTCAAGTTCAAGGAAGCCAGGTGCCTGCAGAAGCCTTGCCCTGATGACAGTTCTTAGTTCAGCTCCTTGGACTGGAGGGTGAGGACAAAGCCCTGCTGGTGGTAGTGCTGTTTCCAGCTAAGTATAGCATGTAGGAAACTTAGTTACTACCCTGGTGGGGGAGGGTGGAGAAAGAGGATGAGGGTGAGTACCCCTTAGTGCTCAGTTCCTCCACAGTGCAGGGACAGCTTCTCAGAACATGCCTGAGAGCTAAGGAAGAACAGAGTCCCATCTGGTACAGCAGAGGTACCCTCAAATCCCAGGCCTACTGGAGAGGAATCAACCACATTCAGATCCTACCCACGTCTAGCCTGGAGGGGAGTTCCTAATCCTCCAGACAAGGGACTGTGTCCCTTCTCACCAGAACGCTCTGATAGCTGCTGCACACATAGCTTTGAAGACCCCCCACCTGAGTCCCTCCTTTAAATGCTTTTATTTTTTTTCCTTTTTTGCAGTGCTGGTGATTGAATCCAGGGCTTTGTGCATGCGAGGCAAGCACTCTAGCACTAAGCTACATCCCCAGCCCTTAAATGCGTTATATATTGACCTGAATTCTGCAGGACCATAAGCTTCGCTTGTTAGTGCGTGAGTCACCCTCCACCCCAAAGCCTCTGACTTAGACACTTTGCACATTAAGGAGAAGGCCATCAAGCCACAACAAGTTCTTTGCTTGCCTCAGGGAATATAGAGGCTGTCCCTCAATGGCACAGTGTGAGGTGGAAAGGCCCTAAGACAGAGCTCAGGTTGCGTCCACCTCTGCAAGTATACACTGTAGGGAACTCTGCATGTGTCAGCCACGCAGAAGACCCTGATTCACGAGTGGAAACTGCTTCAAGGGCTGGGCGCTTCTTC